TAGTCATTGAATTATTTGTTTTGTCAATGTTCAGGATTCAGTGTAGTTTCTTTGTTCTTGTGGGGAGGGGTCGTGATTATTTACTATACTTACAGACAAATAATTATTCAAGGAAAAACTAATAATTCAGAAATGCTACTCAACGTTCTGCACTACAGAGGGCCCCGGCATGGCCAGGTGGTTAGGGCGCTCGACTCGACATGCTCGCCCTTTCAGCCGTGGGGGCGTTATATGTGACGGTCAATCCCACTATTCGTTGGTAAAAGAGTAGTCCAAGAGTTGGCGGTGAGTGGTGATGATTAGCTGCCTTTTCTCTAGTCTTACACTGCTAAATTAGGGACGGCTAGCGCAGATAGCCCTCGTGTAGTTTTGCGCGAAATTCAAAAACAAAACACTACAGAGAGATGTTACTTTGTGCTTACTGCCATGTAATTGTTTGAGCATTCCACAAGCCTTGACTAAAGCTCTCACTCCTACAGGTGTCAAGTGTATTATACCAGCCTATGATGTCATCATCATTAGACTGTAGTCCTCCATAAATAGTTGAGCGACACATCCTTCACGTGTAGTAATCCCCACGAGCACTAGCACGTGAACTTGGGTTCATTCTTTCCTTGGCACTGCTAGTGCTCTAACGTTTTATGTTTCAAATTTTGTGGAATTGCCATCCACTTGATCTATTACCTTGAGTTCATGTTTCTTTACCTTGCCCATTTAGTTTTCCCCAAGATTCCCTATTTTTTGTTCGATTATTATTATATATATATATATAATTTGGTTCATGGCCATTCAACAGTAGTACAATGTTGGATTATGTCACACCCCTTTCTGCAGAAGGATATTCACATAACAAGAGTATTGGGTAATGTCAAACCAGAAGGCCTAACATTTTATAGAAAGGAACCTTTGGTGTGCTGCATGAAAGTGCCAGTACTCTCATAGCAAAGTATTTGAGATAGAAAAAGATCCTTAACACATTACTAAATTTACGCAAAAGCGTATACGGTACTTCTCGTGAACCTTGTCCGCTCCCCCCGGAACTAATCTCGGTAGGCCTGTGAGACCAGTCTGAAACCGTGTTCACGTTCAGTAAAGAATTGTGAAAAGTTTATCAAGATCCTTGAGATTGAACTCGACAACCTTTACAGAATCTCGTTACGATAGAAATCGCAATGTCCAGCGACAATGTTATCAAAAATAAAGCACACTTTTGCGACTACAATGAAAAGATTTGATAGAAAGTTACTGTTTTCACTAAAAAATATTTATAATTATGTGTATAGGATAGGTGTTTGTCATTGTCCTTGAAAGTTGGGTTAAAAAGGAATTTGCCTAAGTAGTTATTAAACAAAAATATCCATAGTTAGCAAATGTTCGTTAACTTGATACAAAAGAATGGATTCGTTTTCATACCGAGGGGGTGAAATCCCCAACAACTTACCTTCTGCTTTTTTTTTCTAAACGTAAGATATTAGTTTGTTTGTAAGTATTTATTATCGCGTTTCAGAGAGTCTTTGAGGCAAGTATGGCCTAGTGGTTATCGTGCCGTACCTAGCAGATCGAAGGGTCCAAGGTTTGTGCCGTGATCCTGTCAAACGCGCTCTTCACTTTCAACTATGAGCACTTTACAAAAGTGACAGTCAGTCATGTTATTATCCCCCAAAACTGAATAAAACCTTTTTGGCGGAGTGTGTTGCTGGCTGGTAGTCCTACATTTCGTACGTAACTCAAATAAGGGATGTATATTAGTTATGATGAGCACCGCCCGGATTTGCTCAGATGGGGTGTGTGGGGACGTCTTTTCAGAAGTCAGAAACACATCTAGGCCTAAGAAAGTCAAGAGTCCGTACCACTTCAGCACATGATCTATAGCAAGGTTCATATCAGATTGAAGAAACGTAATAGCATTGGTACATGATGTTTAGGACGCACAAGAAAAAAATGTGTTGCAAAATGCTATTTGTTCTTAATTTTGATACATTAGTTTCTTTTTATCTTTAAACCGACTTTTGTGAGCCAGGCAAGTATTTTAAAATGTTATTATGTTCTACATGCTATAACTGTATTTTTAAGTTTTTTTTTTCATAGTATTATCACTTACCTCTTGTTTTTTAGAGCACATCTACAAAGTGAACTGTCTACGTTTTGTCCACAGCGTGCAATCGCATTCCGGACTTTAGCTTTGTAATTCCGGAGACTTATCATTTAGCAATTCAGTGCTTAAAAGCCCATTGCATGAAATTAGAGATGCTCGTTTAATTTCAGTTCAGTAAAATTTGGACAATAGTTCATTTGGACATTTCAAGTTGAGTTTACTGATCACACACACATAAAAAACAACAATTACTAAATCACAACAGGTGAAAGCATATCTTGTATATATATTGCGAACTGTGGTGTCTGTCCGAGCGTTCGTCTGTCTCCCGTTTGAAAAGCTGCGCACAGAGGCAAAGCTCAACATTCACTTTTGAAATAACAAGAGAACAGATATGAATAATGTTGGTGCCAAATTTTATTTCGCAAGCAGGATATTCTACACTAAATTATTAAGAATTAATTAGATTATCATTCACATATCAAAATGTGACGTGACATAAAGAATAAAAATGTAGATTTGAGCTGCTCTTAGCATGACGCGGGTTCAAATCCCTGTTCCACCAAACATGCTCGCCCTTTCAGCTGTGGGGTCGTTATTATGTTACAGTCAATCCCACTAGTCGTTGGTAAAAGAGTAGCCCAAGAATTGGCGATGAACGGTGATGACTAGCTGCCTTCCCTCTAGTCTTCCACTGCTAAATTAGGGACGGCTAGCGCAGATAGCCCTCGTGTAGCTTTGCGCGAAATTCATAACTTTTCACAGTGGTCGATATAAGTGGCTTAGAGCTATAGAGATATAAGTGGACTTTTTAAAGTCCATGAAATAATTTAAATATGTAGATTAACTTAAATTTTTCCCGTCACTGGGGCGGGTACTTTTGCTTGTTTACTGATAATATCAAGTTTCCTTAGAAAAGTGGCATGGTGCTACTATAGCGTGCGATCTACTGAGACTTTTACACTATAAACAAAGCATATAAAGATGTTGAATAATAGCAGTCTACCTAGGATATTTACA